TAAAAAGTTAGGGGCACCTGGGTGGCTCAGTGGGTTAAGCCACTGCCTTCGGCTCAGGTCATGATCCCAGGTCCTGGGTTCGAGCCCTGCATCGGGCTCTCTGCTCGGCAGGGAGCCTGCTTCCCCACCCTCTCTCTCTGCCTGCCTCTCTGCCTGCTTGTGATCTCTCTCTGTCAAATAGATAAATAAAATCTTTAAAAAAAAAACAACAACAAAAACCTCATGAACTAGTCTCTGCTAGCTTCAGATTTTTCTTCAGCAGCGTCCTCACCTCTCAGCCTTCACAGATTTAAAGAGAGTTAGGGCCTTGCTCTGGATTAGGCTTTGGTTTACAGGAGTGCTGTGGCTGATTTGATCTTCTGTCCAGACCACTAATACTTTCTCTGTATCAGCGACAAGTCTGTTTGTCTTTCTTATCATTTGTGCATTCACTGGAGTAGCCCTTGTAATTTCCTTCAAAAACTTTTCCTTTGTGTTCACGACTTGGTTAACTGTTTGACCCAGGAGACTTAGCTTTTAGCCCGTCTTGGCTTTGAACATGCCTTCCTTACTGAGCTTCATCATTTCTAGCTTTTGATTTAAAAGGAGAGACGTGTGGGACACCTGGGTGGCACGGTTGGTTAAGTGCCTGACTCGTGGTTTTGGCTCAAGTCGTGGTCTCATGGTTATGAGATCCAGCCCCGCACTGGGCTCTGCACTCATTGTGGAGTCTGCTTAGGATTCTCTCTCCATCTCCTTCTGCCCGCCCTGCTGACCCCCACTCATGCTCACTCACTCTCTCTCTCTCTCTCAAATAAATAAATTTAAAAGAAAATAAAAAATGGAGTGAGACATGTGTGACTCTTCCTTTCACTTGAACACTTCGTGGCCATTGCAGGGTTATTCGCTGGCCTAATTTCAGTACTGTTGTGTCTCAGAGAACAGGGGAGCCCGAGGAGAGGGAGAGAGATGGAGGAATGGCTGGTTGGTGGAGCGGTCAGAGCACACAAACGTTTAATGATTAAGTTCACTGTCTTACATGAGTGCAGTTTGTGGGGTGCCAAAAATCACAGATCACCATAATAAATACAGTAATAATGAGAAAGTTTGAAATATTGTGAGAATTACCAAAATGTGACGTAGAAACATGAAGTGAACAAATGCTGTTAGAAAAATGGCAGAGGGCGCCTGCGTGGCTGAGTGGGTTAAGCCTCTGCCTTTGGCTCAGGTCATGATCCCAGGGTCCTGGGATCGAGCCCCGCATCGGGCTCTCTGCTCAGCGGGGAGCCTGCTTCCCCCTCTCTCTCTGCCTGCCTCTCTGCCTGCTTGTGATCTCTGCCTGTCAAATAAATAAATAAAATCTTCTAAAAAATAAAAAAAGAAAAGAAAAATGGCAGAGATACATCTGCTTAATGCAGTGTGCCACAGATCTGCCGTTTGTAAAAAAAACACAGTATCTGGGAAGCACAGTAGATTAAGGTGTGCCTGTAGCTTATCTCTTGTTTCTTTCTGAGTAATATCCTGCTGTGTGGCTATACCACATCTTGCGTATCTATTCATTAATTTATGGACACCTGGATTGTCTCCAGGTCTTAACTATTACAAGTAAAGCTGCTATGAATGAACACTTGTGTACAAGCCTGGGTGGACATGTTTTCATTTCTCTTGGGCAAATTGCTAGGAGTGGAATTCCTGAGTCTTAAAGTAAGCTATGTTTGGGGCTCCTGGGTGGCTCCGTCTTTGGGCATCTGCCCTCGGCTCAGGTCATGATCCCAGGGTCCTGGGATCGAGCCCCGCATCAGGCTCCCTGCTCAGTGGGAAGCCTGCTTCTCTCTCTTTCTCTCTCCCTGCTTGTGTTCCCTCTCTTGCTGTGTCTCTGTCAAATAAATAAATAAAAGCTTAAAAATATAAATAAATAAAAATTTAAAAAGTAAGCTTATATTTAAATTTTAAAACGTAAGCTTGTGTTTAACCTTTTTTTTTTTTTTAAGATTTTATTTATTTATTTGACAGAGAGAGAGAGAGAGAGAACACAAGCAGGGGGAGTGGCAGGGGGAGAGGGAGAAGCAGACTTCTCCCTGAGCAGGGAGCCTGATATGTAGTTCGATCCCAGGACCCTGAGATCATGACCTGAGCCGAAGGCAAATGCTCAACACACTGAGCCACCCAGGCGCCCTGTTTATATTTAACTTTTTATTTTTTTTTTTATTTTATTTTTTTTTTTTTAAGATTTTATTTATCTATTTGACAGAGAGAAATCACAAGCAACAGATTTACAGTATAAATGAAGCAACAGATTTTCAGTATAAATGAAACGGCCTTCCATTGGAAGAAGGTGCCATCTAGGACAGGAAAAGTCAATGCCTGGCTTCAAGGCTTCAATGGACAGGCTGACTGTCTTGTTAGGAGCTAAGAGAGCTGGTGACCCGCAGTTGAAGCCAGTGCTCATTGACCGTTCTGAAAATCCTAGGGCCCTTAAGAATTATGATAATCTACTCTGCCTGTGCTCTCTGTCAGTGGAACAAAGCCTGGATGACAGCACATCCTTTTACAACATGGTTTACCGAGTATTTTGAACCCATTGTTGAGATCTCCTGCTCAGAAAAAAAGATCCCTTTCCAAAGCCTGCTGCTCACGGACAGTGCACCTGGTCACTCAAGAGTTCTGAAGGGGACAGACCATGAGATTCGTGTTGTTTTCACACCTGCTCACACACTACCCATTCTGCAGCCATGGATCAAGGAGCACATTTAACTTTCAAGTCATATTATTTAAGAAACACATTTCACAGGACTAGAGCTACCATGAAGAGTGATGCCTTCTGGAAGTCCCTTTGGGAAGGGTTCACCGTTCTACATGCTGTTAAGGACATTTGTGTTTATGGGAAGAGGTCAGAATATCAACATTAGCAGGAGTTTGGAAGAAGTTGATTGCAACCCTCATGGATGACTTTGAGGGGTTCAGGACTTCAGGGGAGGAAGTAACTGCAGATGTGGTAGAAACAGCAAGAGAACTGGAATTAGAAGTGGAGCCTGCAGAGGGGACTGAGTTGCTGCCGTCTCATGACGAAGCATGAAGAGCTGCTTCTTACGGAAGTGCAAAGAAAGTGGTTTCTTGAGATGGCATCTACTCTTAGTAAAGATGCTGTGAAGACTCTTGAAATGACAACAAAACATTTAGAATATTACATAAACCTAATGGATAAAACTTTAGAAAGAAGTTTCACTGTGGGTAAAATAGGATCAACACCATCGTGTGTATGGAGAAACTGTTCATGAAATGAGAACCAATCAATATGGCAAACTCTATCACTGTCCTATTTTTAAGAACTTGCCACAGCCACCCCAACTTCAGCAACCCCCACCCCAATCAGTCAGTGGCCATCCACCTCAAGGCAAGACCCTCCAGCAGCAAAATGATTATGACTCACTGGAAGATCAGATGATGGTTACCAGTTTTTAGCAGTAAAGTATTTTACTTATTTATTTATTTTAATTTTTTTTTTCCAACAGCAATAAAGTGGTTTTTGTTTTTTAAGATTGTTTATTTGCGAGAGAGAGCAAGCGAGTGAGCACGAGGAGGGAGAGAGAGAGGGATGAGCTGAGCAGGGAGCCCAACGTGGGGCTCGATCCTAGGACCCTGAGATCATGACCTGAGCCTGAGGCAGATGATTAACCAACTGAGCCACCCAGGCTCCCCAATAAAGTGTTTTTAAATTTAAGTATGTGCATTTTCTTGACATAATGCTTCTGTACACTTTATGGATTACAGTACAGTATAGCACAATATAGTCTAAACATAACTTTTATATGCACTGGGAAAAACCAAAACATTCATTTGACTTGTTGTATTGCAATATTTGCTTTATCATGGTGATCTGGAGCCAAACCTGTCATATCTCGGAGGTTTATCTGCACTGATACAGGCTAGAACACGGCCGAACTTCAGAAATGTTATACTAGGTGAAAAAAGTCACTTGCAAAAGACTCCATATTATAAGACTCCATTTATACGGAATGTCCAGAAAAGACACATTTAAAGACAGAAAGCAGATGAGTGGTTGCCTGGGCCCTGGGGAGATGTGGGGATTGACTGAACACAGATCTATACAAATATTGGGGGTGATGGAAATGTTCTATGACTGAATCATGTTGATGGTTGCACAATTCTATAAATTTTCTAAAAATACTGAATTGTATACTTACACTGGGTGGACTTTTGTGCCTTATAACTCATACTTCAATAGAACCATTAAAAGTAAATAAACACAATCTGATGCTGAAAATTTCAGGAAGCATAACTCAGATACAATCTCTATGACTTGAATCAAAGGTTCTCCACATTCCTCTTCCTTATATATTTAAAAATTACAGGTGAAGGACATTACCAGTGTTCAGAGCCTAAATGATCTTAAGCTCCTGAACGAAACTGTGTGGTCCCTGTGACTGTTCAAAAAACAGCAGCAGATTTAGATATCTTAAAAATTTTGACCATATTTTACTGGGCTCATTTCAGAGAAAAAAAAATAAAGCAATAAAAGGAAAGTCTGAGAAGCAAATCAAATCCCAAAATTGTTTGAGTAATAAACCATATTATATATAATCATTATAGCCTAGAAACATTTAATCTGAAGCAGGAAAGGCTGACCTAGTAATTGACTTAATAGCTATCTTCAATGATACGAAGGGTTTCATGGAGAAACTATTTGACTAGTTCTTCTCTCTCTCCATTGAGAGCGAAACAAAACAAAGTGATTTAATAGTCAGCAAGGTAAATTTAGATTAAACATAAATAACACTGACAGTAACTGCTATCAAATACTGAAATAAATTTAATTAGGATATTTGCTCAAGCTGTTTCCTTGGTGATCACTAGAACACACAGACAGAAAGCTCTGGTCTGAACGTATTACTTGCCTGGGAGGCAGAAAGTCGACTTGCTGACCCCAGGCCCCCACGCGGGGAGGAGCAGGTCCGAGCAGAAGGCAGGCAGCCACCCTGACTTTCCCACACTTCACTCACCTCAATATCCCGATTGAGCTGCTTCACAATGGCAGTTATGTTTCTGATGTGCTCCTCCAAGAAAAGCCTGGCCAAGCGGTCGCCGCCCCCTTTGTTCTGCATTTTCTGCAAACTGCTAACAATGTCGTCCTTAATCCGGAAGGCGTGCTCCACAAGGGCCGCGGTTGTCTTCTCGTGACAGAGGATCCTATCTTCCAGTTGTTCCACGAGGCTTACAGATGAGTAGGGTGCCATGGTCAGGGACTGGCTGTGTCGGGGCATGGTTCTAACTCGCCTATGGAAGGGAGCCACATTGCAAGGTTGTTCACTGGGAAAAAGTCATTTTCAAAAAGCCAGATTCAAGACTGCCCAGAGAAGTAAATGCAAATTCTCTCGCCCTACAAGGTAAATGGGGCTTGAGGCAGGGTTTCTGCCACAAGGAGTTTTCTTGGTGAGCCGGGCATCTTGAAACAATCATACTCAGAGTCTTAACCGTGCAGATAGCAGGCTTGATGACCTCCAAAAGCAAGAGGCTGGTGGAATTGGGCATGCTGACATGTGCCCAATTCCAATCTAAGCTTATGGAGACCAAGCTTATCGGGACGCCTGGGTGGCTCAGTTGGTTAAGCATCTCAACTCTTGATTTCAGCTCAGGTCATGATCTCAGGGTCCTGAGATCAAGCCCCACGTTGGGCTCCCCACTCAGTGGGGAGTCTGCTTCTTTCTCTTTCTCTCCACCCCAGTCCCGCCCCTTCCCTCCCCACTCCCTGCTCACACATGCACATGCTCTCTCTCTCTCTCTCTCTAAAATAAATAAATCTTTAAAAAAAATCTATAAAGATCAAGCATATTCACAAAGTCTCCTGACATGCCCTCCTCCCCTATTCCCCTACAGCAGTTCTTTAACATAATAACGAACTCTAAATGCCTACAAGGGTCAGGCAGGTGACCTAAATGAATCATGCCCATCACATGTAATACAACAGGGAGGGGACTTAGGAGACCTGGAAAAGGCACTCCTCCACTAAAGGCAGCTACAATTTTCCTCCATCCACGAGTGACCATCTGGGAATGCAGGTCTATTTTTTCAGATTATGTCATATTTCAAAAAAAGCTGGAAATTCAGACTTGTATGTGAAATCACCTTATTTTTAAATGTTAACAAGTCATTTAAAAAGTATTTAAGATAATGCAGGCCAAACAGTGTGCTTCCATGAGCCAATTCTGGTCTATGGACCCTCAATCTGCAACTTCTGATTTAAAATGGTTAGTGGGACATTAGCCCTCAAGGCTCCAGAGCTGCATTTTCCTAGGGACCAGAAGTACAGCTGTACTGTAAGGTTATTATGAAGTCTCCACTTCTCACTATCACTGAGCAGATCCTACAAACTGGATGCTGGAGAGGGACGCAACTGTACTTCTCCTGCCCTTGAACAAAATCATCCCTGGGTAATGTAACAGCTACAAAATTTCATTTATAATAACCATCACACCCACTAGCAGCCCTCATGGGATTGGTGGAAAGGAAAAGTATACCTTAGATGCATATTTTCCATATATTATACCTTTCCTCAGTGACGAGAGAAGGAAATGCAGTGCTCCGTTGGGCCATTTTCTTTTTAATAATTTACATCTGTTGAAAAAAAATCATTAAATTATTTAACAGTTTATATCTGGAATTGAAATGACATCTAAACCTTATTATTAAGTTACTAAGTGGATTGTAAATTATGCTGACACACCGATCAGTTATATTATTAAATGTCTTATGTCCTATACATGAAATAAACAGTAAATGCTTCCAAATAAGGAGAAAAGAATCAAGCAAAATAAAAATTAATACTGCTAAGCCTTGCTAGATAGATAGATTACTGGGGACTGTTAAGCAGATTTTCTTGAAATTTCCTCCCCCTCCGCCCCGTAACTGCATTTTAAGCTTGAGAAACCACTTTTACAGAAACGAGATAGTTTCTTTCCTTTTTTTTTTTTTAAGATTTTATTTATTTATTTGAGAGAGAGAGAGTGGGAGAGAGCATGAGAGGGGAGAAGGTCAGAGGGAGAAGCAGATTCCCCATGGAGCTGGGAGCCTGATGAGGGACTGGATCCCGGGACTCTGGGATCATGACCGGAGCTGAAGGCAGTTAGTTGCTTACCCAACTGAGTCACCCAGGTGCCCACAAGACAGTTTCTTTAAAGGCTCTATTCAATCATGTCAGGTAGGAAACTACCTTAGTAAATCTGATTGCAGCAACTTTAGCAAATTCCATAGCAAATTAAGAGAGCACTTACTTCTAAATTAATCGTAAATCAAAAAATACATCATCAATTGGATCTAATTTGGAGGAGCCTATCTATCCATGAAGAGAATGTGATTGATATTCCTTAAAATTTTTTTTAATAAGATATCATCATTCATATTATATCTTGCCTGTAAGGAACATTTGGCCATCCTAACACATTAGAAATTTGAGCAAAACTGGAGAGTTTTTAAAATATTTTGTTACTTAGGTTTCTCAATACTGCTGTTAATTGCCTTAAAACAATGAATGCCTAGTAACTGTGATCTGATTCAGTAATTAGTTCTCATTTAGATGCTGGATTCAGAGAGCATTTCTGATTGAAACCATTGTTTTGGCATCAACTCTTCCAGTGTCTTATTTTTAGAGTTTCATAATGTGAACATTTCATTTTCCTAGACAAAGAACTTTGAATTCAAACAAATCACATTTAAGAAAAAAAGCAATTCATGCCAAACAAGTTATGATGCCAAAGGAGATCTTCAGCTCTTACGATAATCACCTATGTCATTAAGACTACATGAAATCAGGCCAATGTGGAAATGTTAAGATTTAGAATCATAGAATCTTTACCATTTTAAAGTTGTAATATACCTTAGTTGAGATATTAATCTATGGAATAGCCCAATCTAAGAAACATTTATCTGGCATCTATGATGCAGCTGAGTAACCTAAATATATACAACAAAATCCAGACCCCTCAGGGACTTCACAGCCTACAGAGAAAGACAGATATCTAAGCCAACCATGAAGCAATGGGATAAATGGCTATGAACAAAAACACACAGGGAGGAAAAAAGGAGAGGCCTTACTTTCCCCTGGATAGGAAAGAGAGCTCGGAGGACAGAAACTAATGAAAATGAATAGGATTTCCCAAAGTACAGAATAGAGAGACTGTTCTACACCTTCTTTCCTTAAGACTCCACCATCACATCTACCTTCTATGCTCTCAGAATGCTCTCTGGCCTGGCCCATTCTTCCAACCGCATGCAGTGCCACTCTAGCCAATGCTAACCCTCCCCATTGCTACTCTACCCACCCACCTCTGTCCTTGAATATGTCATGAACTCTTCTGCCTTCACATCTTTGTCTGTGAGCTCTATGGGAAACACTCTTCTCTCTGCCTCCAGAGAAAACTCCTATTCATCCCTTAAGGCCCCTCTGCCCTTCAGTTCAATAAAATACCTCCCTCGTTTGTATTTCTTCAGCACTTTACTCGGTATGTTTTTATACTACCTATTACACTCTATTATTTTTGGCTATTTAATAGTATGTCTCCCCTACTGAACTACATGCTCCTTCAGGGCATATTTCAAATCTTAATGGACACAGAGCTGACCTAGAACTCTCCATACGTGTCTGTTAATGGGAGCGTGACTTACATCCCAGTATCAGAAACGGGAGCAATGAAGGCATTAGAGAGTGTTTAGTTAAAAAGTATAGTTCTTTACTGAGACTGCACCCAAACAGCCACTCAATATAATATTTGTAAAAGAATGGACACTTTCGGAACCCCCTTCTCTGAAGGTCATTTCATCCTTCTGGAATTTTCCTGCCTGAGCTAAAGAAGTCCAGCCACATCAACTTGCTGGAAAAGGAGTCTATCCACCACTCTGGCTGAGATTGCTTTTCAGTAGCAAACCTATCACAAAGCACTATGCACTCTCTAGGACAGGAAATGTTACATGGCATGAGGTCACAACACACACTGTGGTCTGTTCAGAACTGGTGCCCTCTTCAAGAAATGTGGTGGGAATTTGTTTGTGAGCTTGCTTGGTTGGTTAGTGTCGTGATTCTTTACCAGACAATGGGACCCATATTACAAAGAAATAAGGATTAAAATAAATAAGTCACTGGGTTAAATAACTTCTCAAAGATCATTTCCAGACCTTCCCATTGTCAACTCTGGCTGACCTGCCTGTGGCCATCAGTTCCTGCACTTTTATAAATCTGAGCTCTAGAACTACAAGTGGTAGGTACTACAACACTATTAGGCAGATCTAGGCTGTCTACTGGTCTGACTCTGCTGTGTTTTGCTGTTATAATATTAATCCCCAGCTTATGAGTTTAAAAAACTTGGGAAAATTAGGGGAAGAGACAGGTAGGCAAAGCAAGGAGAGAAGAAGAGTTGAAAGAAATGTAAAAAAGTAAAAACCACAATACCCAATATCAATAGAGTTTGGGAGTTCACAAAAGAGTAAAGGAAAATACTCTTATCTAAACCAAAATAATTAATTGTGATTATGAGGATTCTCATTAGATTTTTATAAGTAAGATGACACTAAGGGCACCTGGGTGGCTCAGGTGGTTAAGCATCTGCTCTTGATTTTGGCTCGGGTCATTATATCCAGATGGTATCCAGAGCCCGGCTTTGGGCTCTGCACTCAATGGGAAGTCTGCTTGGATTCTCTCTCTCCCTCCGTCCCCTCCCTGCTCTCTAAAATAAATACATCTTTTGAAAAATAAAGTAAGATGACACTGGGTAGAAATACCTCCAGTATCATCAAATGTGAAATGACACATGATTTTTGCTAATGGCAGTTTTAACTTTCAGAAAAACTCAATGTCAATCATGTAAAAATTAAGTTAGTTTTTCATTTTACTATCAAAATACAGTACTGATGGGTTCTGCTAGGTGTCAGAATTAAAAAAAAAATAGGCAAAGCACTTATGAATAAAGTGGTTGTAATCTGGTGGTAGGGGGAAAAGTCTATTTTCTTATAGTTAAAAATAGAGGGAAAGGAGAGAGAGCAGAGAACAGCTGAAGGTGTGCCTAGAAAGGCAGGTGGGAGGGAATCGTGCTCTAACTTAGCTCTGACCCACGCTCAGGGCTTGGACTTCATCCTGGGCAGTGCTGGGGCAGACGGGTGACTGGACCAGGGCTGGAATGGGAAAGGCAAGCTGAGGGAGGGTCAGAAGAGAGGAGAGGTCCCAGGACCAGGAACTCAGCTGGGGAGGGTGGGGCCTGGGGAGGAGCTTCTGCCTTCCTCTCTTCTCCTTCTTGCTTTTCCCACTGCTCTGGCCTCTCCACTTCCTTTTCCTACACCTCAGGGCTCCCCCTGCATTTTCCTTTGCCCGTTCCATTTTCTTAGCCTGGCATTCCCACTGTCCATTCTCCTTCCCCCTCCTGACTGTGCTCTCCCCGCCTCTCCTCCTCCCACTTTGTGCAACCGCACATACACTTGTCCAGCGCAGAAAGCACTGTGAGGTCAGTGAGGTCAGACCCTTATTTGAAGGCTGGCTTCCCCGCTGTGATCTTAGCAGGCTGCCCTTAGCCTGTTGGCCTGGGGACCTCATACATAATAGCTGTTCACTCTCAACAAGCGTTAACCCCTGTCTGACCCTCCGGAGCATCCTCTTGGGCATTCGTAGAATTCATCCTCACAATTGGCGAAGGAGTGCTCTTATCATCACCGTTTACACAGCGGAAACAGACTTAGAAAGGTTCAGGAACTGGCCCAACCACACGCAGGGATTTGGACTTGGGCCTCTGCCTCTTCCTCACCAGGCATTACCCACAGGAGGACTACAGGAATCCACAACACTGTCTGGCCTTAGGGCACTCCACAAGCTCCCAGGAAGGGCTGGTTCCTTTCCTTTCCCTGGCAAATGCACATCTGATAGAAAACACATCTCTTTTTAAAAATAACACCTTAGGGGCGCCTGGGTGACTCAGTGGATTGAAGCCCCTGCCTTCGGCTCAGGTCATAATCCCAGGGTCCTGGGATCGAGGCCCTTATCAGGCTCTCTGCTCAGCAGGGAGCCTGCTTCCCCCTCTCTCTCTGCCTTTCTGCCTACTTGTGATCTCTGTCTTTCAAATAAATAAATAAAATCTTTAAAAAAAATTAAATTAAATTAAAATAACATCTTATATAAATGGTCCAGCAAATAGTACCCATTTGTTTAAGGAGGTATCATATGGTTTCCTGGGTGGTACTAGTGGGGAAATGACGGGCATCTGCTTTAACCCTTCATTTGGCCGAGGCTATTCCTCTGGTGAGGGTACAGCTACAGTGAAGCCTTGCTGTTACTCGTGTTTTTCAATCAGGCACACATGTGCAAAGAACAATTTGCAACACACATCTTTGTATGAGGAAATTTGAAACATTTTAAGAAACACCTTTTCTTAAACTGAAAAATGCTTTCTGTGATTAAAATTTAAGCTCTACATAAAGGCATAAAGAACAAAGTGAAAATTACCCCTCAGAAATTGATGTTAATGCATTGATTTACTTTTTTTTTTTTTTTTAAAGATCTCTCCCAGGATACATTTTCCTTTTTGAAAAAAATAAAGTCATACTCTATAGCATGTGTGCATGCATTCCCTAATTGGCAC